TTCTCACCATAATTTTATTCAGTAGCCATACTCTGACAGAGCCAGGATCTTTTTCATATTCTGTAATAAAGCCTTCTCCAGACCTTTACAATGTGGAGAAGTAGCGAGAATATTGTGACAGAAAGCGACAAAAAAGGCTTAAGTATTTAACCACATAAATGCTACTCTGATCAACTTAATTCTGGCAAGGAATTGCTCTCAGTTTTATTTCTCAAGAAACTGACCAACTGCAAAGATATACCGTGACAAGCTCAGAAGTGCATCCTTTTAGAATGAGACAGCTAAGTATGCACTTCTATAAAATATACATATAGCTAGTATTCTAAATCTACATGCTGCATAGGAGCATCTCACCACTTCATTGTTTGGCAGAAACTGGAATTTGTGCTTTAATTTAATAAACACAATACATAAACAGCTGAAGTTCAAATAATGGCAGAGGAACTGAACTATGTCTGGATTTCTCACTAATTCTCACAGTGTAGTGTGGCAGCAGTATAGCTTTTTTATAGAACTTTAGAGAAAGGATAATGCAAGATAGGATACTTTTATAATTCAAATTCAACTGAATGTATTGTAATTTCTATATTTGAAACACAGGATAGTTTGCTTACAGAAACAGAGTTCGTAACAAAAGACTTTTGCTCGCTGGGAAACAGTGTCTGAAAATACTTCCCTTTCAAAACCAATTCAGTGATATTTATTTTAGTACATTCCAATATAAAAAAAAAAAATTGCAGCAGAGCAACACTAGCTCTGAGTTCCTATCTCCAATTTACATTGGTGTAAATTTTAAGTCTTTCATTTCACACTCTGTATACAATATAACCTTTCAATCTCCTTCCTCCCACAGTAACAGCCGTTATCCCTTGTCTTGTCTTTCTCCACTTCAGAATAAGGTCATTCCAACATGTAGGTCTAACAAGAAATGCAATGTATTTTCATTGATTTGTATTGTCAGTGATTACCCCTTTGTGTTATGTAGTGATCTGTATAGTAAAGGACATTCTATGTTGTCATGCAAAGCCAGTCTTAAGGAACAGATTCTGCACCCCAGGCTCCCTCAGTTTATTTATAAGCTCTTGTTTTTTAGAAAATGGGCTTTCTAACAATAGCCTTGAAATTATTTACCATTTTTAATCAATTACTAGATCTGAATATTTGGCACTAGTCTAGATTTTTTTCACTGTTTTCCTGCAGAGACTACTGGTTTTTCATAGTCTTGTTCAGAGATTGGACCCTGCAAGTTCAGGACAATGAGAGCATTTTGTCATTTGATTATTGGTAATATCTGAGTTTAATTTACAATAGAATATTTTAAACTCACTCCATCCTTGTAGGTAGAGAATCTGTACAAGTGTGTAAGAGGACCATGACCACCATCTTTATTGCCTTTTTATTGCAAAAATGGTCACTTAGAAGAGGACCATGAAGTGGAAAACAATTGCTGAGTATCATTTCTTGGCTTTTTTTTTCCCATGTTCAATTTTTCACATATTCTGATGTGCTACATCCTCTGAAAAACAAAAAAGAAGGAACTGAATTCCACTTCTGGGATGGGGCAGTAAGAGTAAATTAATGATTGCCTCTCACCCAATTCCCATTACCTCTATTTGGGATGACGCCTATCACAGTAGACTTTCACAGGATTTGCTAGATATCCATGTCCATAGAGGTGTGTTTGTGAGAGAGATTAAGTTCTTAAAAGTTAAGTAATAAGAAAGCATATGTAGAGCAATCTGAAAATGCACATTTAATGTAGGATAAAACAAGTAACTTTTCTATATTTGATTAACAATTGATAAAGTTTCTACTTTATTCTCCCAGAATACTGAAAAACTAGTCCTTCATTACCAGTAAAGATTTTAAATTGAAAATAAACTGCAGTAGATTTATTATGTATCTGTGCAGTGTACTATCTTCTGTATTGTGCCTTGTACCTGTTAGGTCAGCTTCTGCAGAATGTACTTTTTTGAGACTTAAACTGATCAATACCTACTCAAGGTCTTCAAAGCCTCTTTGGATTTGCAGTTGATATCAGTATAACAGGGACCAAAAAATTCTTAAGTACAACAGTGAGATGGATGAATACATACAGAAAAGAAATCAGAGAGATCCATCTGAAACTGTATGCTGTCTGAGTTTCAGTTGCTGTAATTGTTCACAAACACTGAAGACAGAAATTGGGTTTAAAAACAAAAATAGTTGATTTATGGAGGGATCCTATTTCTGATGTACAAGAACTGGGTTGTATTCAGGGTTCGTAGAGTATGATGTTGATGGAGTTTATAATCCTTAGTACAGGATTCCTATATTTGTGAGGAAGAAGTAGTGGACTATTATTCATTCCTCTCCCTATATTTACTTACTCTTTCCATCCTGTGTTTCCTTTCCCCCAGTATTCTATTTCATCTTTCTTTTTCTTCTCCTGTTTTCTGTATACATTATTGATTTGCCTATTTACAAATATTTTTGCAAGTGAACAGAGAATGAGAGATCTGTGAAAAGCTGCTGCCTTTATTTTTCCAATTTCTTATTTTAAAATATAGAGGAAATTATAGGGAGGCAAATAAGAAAATGCAAGAAAAAAAATCTCAATTATTGGGATAGTTGTGCTATTTGAGAAATAACATGTGTTCTTATAATTCAGAGCTGAATTTTGATTCGTATGTGTGATATTCCAGAGTTTAGGCTACATGTGAATTCCCTCTCTTTGGAGTACCGGGTTGGGAGGTTGTGTACATAATTTCAACAACAGCCAAAAAACCACCAAACTCCCAAACTAAACCCCACCCAAAACCTGTAGAAAAAGCAAGAATTACTTATCTTGATTTACAAACCCACCCTGAAAATTGGGAAAATATTTTACTTCAAGTTTTCCACAAGATTTCCACTCTAGGCTTAAAACAGTCACAGATTTTAGTTTCTAGATCTAATTGTTTTAGAAATTTACTGGTCACTGACAACAGTGCTTTAGACTGAATGTATCATATCAACTATAACTAAAATAAAAACAATGAGTGGATAACTCATTGGGAAGAATACATCAAAAGAACAAATTAATAGCCTTATGTGGACAATACAAAATACTGAGCTGGAACACTATTCTTACTGATGAAGAATCCTTCCAAAAAAAAAAAGAAATTTGTTCAGGACCCCCTGTATACTGTAGAAATGGACTGTTTATCAACTCAGAGGAAAATGGACTTGGGGGTATAAGGGAAACAGGAAGGTGATGATGTTTGTTTATTTGCTGCCTTTGGTCATTTCTGAGTTATATAAACAGCAGTTTTAATTACAGTTTCTGAGAAAGCAGAAAAGTATTATAGCTTTCTCAGACCTTACCATTGTACTCTAACTGGACACATCCAGCTAGTTAGTCATCTATTCAGGTAATGTTTCTTCATCAGTAACCTTTTGTGGTTTAATTTTCCACTATTTTAAAGTATGTATGAAAGCCTTTTAAATATGTAATTTTAAATAAATTACATTTATTTACACACTTAAAGACCTGCATGGATTAATTGGAATTTTTATCTTTTACCTCCTTGGAAAATTACTAATAATTTCTGGATTTTCTGGTTTTTTGTTTTGTTTGTTTGGGTTTTTAATTTCTCGAAAACATTTTGAGGTTTACTGAAAAACATAACTAATCTCACTGTAAGAAGCACCTGAAAGAGAAAATTATAAATGTTTGAATGAGAAATTTTAAAAGGAAATTGAATTTCTAAATGGCCTCTATTATTACTCAGCAAAAATTGCAGCAAGGCAAGGCATAAGCAAATATAGGAAACTGCTAGTTTATAAAGAAATTCCAGCTTTCCTTCAGACTTTCCCTACTGACATTCTTCAGTGCCTGTTTCCCTTCACTTGGTTGCACTTTTCCTACATTTTGCAGATTACCCTTCTTCTCTCTAGCCATTTCACTACTTTCTCTTTATGGCTGCTGTTGATTGGCAACTGTCAAGCTGTCAGCAGACAAACAAACTTTTCAATTCCTGGCTTCCCACAGCAGAAAATACAGGAGTCCTTACATAAAATTTCCTCCATTCTTGTTGCATTTTCTTGCCATAGCACCAAATAGTTAAGCAGGCATTCCACTCCTAATGGAAATAAAAGTATGTAGTTACACTGCAGTAGCCGTTTTTGAAGCATTATCAGAATTTGTAATGCTTTTTTCTTTGAATGAAGTATATTAAAAGAAAACAATAGCATACTGGTCACAATGCTTTTGAACTTACTCTACCCTCTGTTTTTTTTACTATTCCTAGGGGCAAGTGTGGCAAACAGCAGATTTTATCCTTGTATCATCTGGTTCTCTGAGCCTCAGAAGCATACTGATTACCACAGCTGCAATAAATAAAGTGTCTATTCAATCAGTTATAATGTCAAATATTATTCAACATTCTTCTGGCCAGGCACAGAGTCTGATGGAAAACAGTACATCTCGCTTATTGGCTTTTTCCTTGCAATTAAAATTGCTGAGTAATCAGTGTGCACCAGAAAGCAGAATGTGAATAATGCCAGTTTGCTTGGGTTTATTTACACTTACTATTTGAAAGAAAAATACCTGTAGCAATATGGCTTTCATTAATTAGGAAGCACAAGCAAATTGACAACAATATCAGTCTTGAAGCCTGTAAGAAATGTAATTTTATGTATCTACCTGTTCTATTAGTGCTTAGTTCCTAATATCTTTTTTATTCTCGTCCAGATATTTTTAAGCAGGATTTGATTGGCTATGCATCTCATGGAATATATAACAGTTTCTCTGATAGAAACCTAAATAGTTAATTTCTGGCATTTGGGATTACGGTGTACTTTTTCTCTGACTTAATGGTTCAGCCTTTTTCACTGTCATGCAAGGAGAAAAATGATTATGTGAATCATTTGGTTAAAATTGTTGCCGTCCAAAAGTATTTGTTTTAAATGTATTCTTTCTGAATTTTTTTTTTAAATGTTGTGTTTTGTTTTTTCCTCTCTTTGTTTTCTTTTTCTAGGCTGAGGTTCAGCTATGCTATCTGGAAGCACAAAGAGATGCTGTTGAACAGATGTCCTTAAAACTGTACAGTGAGCAGTACAACAGTAGTAGCAAGCGAAAGGAAGAGTTTGCTGATATGTCAAAAGTTCACACAGTGGGAAGTAATGGGTAGGGAACTATTCTTTTTGTTGTTTTATTCTCACTGATCTGTGTTTTTTTTTACATGATATAGTTTTTCTTACTTCTAGTTAACCAGGATTTTTTTTCCTAGGCCAAGAGGCAGGGAAAAACTCTCTCTCTATATATATTTGCTTTTATCATATATGAATGCAAAAATTATATATATATATATATATATATATTATATATTTAAGTGTACATATAAAAGCAGTCTTTCTTAATATTTTGAACAAAGAATGTTGGACGAATAAATCACTGGAATATGCTAAAATGACTTCTTGCTGCCCTCCCTTTTTCACAATCAAGAAAACTTATAGTTCTGGATTAAGACTTTTTCTTTAAGGTCTTTTGAAAACAGTATCTCCCAACTGCTAGCACCCCAAAATGAACATAAAACACATACCTGTGAGATCATAGGAGTGTAAGCCAAAAGCAATTCAAAGGAGCCAACTAGTGCTCATTGTTTGGGTAAACCCTCATCCTGATAAAAGTTTCCTAGTAAATACAGTAGAACTTCTGCTTGCAGTTTCCTATGCAAGGAAAGTCATTGACCAAGGTGTTCATGAGTTCCTTATCTCCAGAACTTCATTTTCTGATTGTTAACTCAATGTTCAGGTCTTGGAAACACAGTTTTATTAAATTACTGACTGTAAAGATAAATGAGCCTTGTAAACATCCTCTCTTATTATACAGAAAGATGACTGTTTTAGAAAAATTGATGTGGGCTAATTATGTAGGATTACTGAGATCTTGATTACATATGCAGAAATCTGTCAGATTCTCAAACATGCTGGTGCAGCTAGTGCCAACCATAAAAATAATTTGTTCAGAATTGGTGTGTATATGTATATAAATGTGCTCTGAGGGCTACATGTTCAAAACTAGCATCTAATTTTGCAGCCACCATTGAATGTGAACAAGACTTAAGGCTGGAATATTGTGGAGGATGTCAGCCAGTAACACATCAACAGACTTTCGATTTTCCTGAGAGTAGGGGATATAGAGCTTTTCACTTCATGAAGAAATCCAGTTTGTAACTCCACGTACCATATGTGATAAGTAAATAGGTCCTTAAATGCACTTGTTTGCACTTGTAATTACATGCTTAGGACTGGGAATGGTCATCTGCTAGTGTTCCCTACCTTTTCTGTGCTGTGGCCACCTTTCTGGGCCCTTCTGGCCATCCCAGCCCTTAGAGACTAAACAGTGACTTCAGGTGCCAGAGGGCTGGAGTCAGACCACTACAGTATCACATATTCAGCCATTGTAGAAACTAGGGGAGATTGAATTCAGATGAAAAACTTCCAGTTGAACAAGTCTGAGGTGCTGTATCAAGCACAATGGAAATGCCTTTCAGCTATTTGAAAATAGAGTTGATATAAAATTTCCCTACTGCATAAAAACCGTGGACAGAAACTCCACGGTAGAATGATGTAGCTAGAGACTGTGATCTCTACAGAGAAGGGGCCATTTGCATAAGTGGGAAAATTAGCTGTTGTTGAAGATTGACTTTGGAGAAAGAAGAGTGTCCACTGGGAGAACAAGAGTAATTGTAGATTAAGAATTTTTTATATGACATGGGTATATGTGTGTATGAGATTTGGGAGAGGTGACTTTGTGTAGGAAATAGCTAACCTCAGATAGGTGGGGTAGTATTTGCAGAATAGGGTGATGCTAGTGGGTGCATAAAACCCAGGAGATTTCCTGCAAAACAGCGATCTTGTTAAAGCGGCGATACAGAGGGTTTATGTCTATCTGCACGAAAATGGCTAAAGTGACAATGGAAGAGAAGAAAATGAATATCCACTGCAGGAGAACACCAGCAAGCCAGGCAGCAAGAACACCAGCAAGCCAGGCAGCAAGAGGCAGCCAAGAGTAGTTGAGAGCAGATGCCAAATGTTACAGTAAATCTGGCTGGAAATATTGCATCCCCTCAAAACTGGGGAGGAGTTCGTACAGGTACTATTGGGAGATATGGATACAATTATTTACAGCACCATTGTACAACATGAAGGCCAGATCCTGAGTCTGTCATCAGCTAGTATTGGGCCTTCATGGATGAGGCTTTGAGAGAAATGCATTATAGGGGGTTTCAAGTATGCTCAGAATATAAGGCAATTTTAAAACTGTTAAGGTCAAACCCCCAATTTCTTCTATATCTTCCTAATAAAAACATGTGAGAAGAGTTCCAGAAAATTATGACCCAGAAACTTGAAGGAACTTTTTGTCTGGCTGAATTTTTTTGGTAGGCATAGCAGTGTGTTTACAGTACTTCTAAATGCCATGTGAGTTATGCCATCAAAGAAATACTACAAACTGCAAGTGCATGTTAAACATAGAGAAAGAGGCTGATGGAAATAGCTTCACATTCCTTTTTATTTATTAATGCCACAGACGAACTGGTTTTCTCATGAGAAAGGTGCTCATGAATTTTCATTCAAAATAATAAATTGATGTCCACATTTTAAGAAATATGTTTAGGGTTCAAGGGATTAGACATACAACTCTGCATATCTGATTCCCTGTTTACCAAGACAAAATATACTTCTTAGTGTCATTTTAGTTATTACATAGCTAATGGTTTTATCTTATCAACAAAAAACCTATATTAAGGAAGCTGTATTTACCTGCCATTTAACTAATATTATAGTTTTTTTGTTGGCAATCTTTGGGTACTTTTAATGGAGGATTTATTGTTTCTATAAACAGATGACCTAATTTATTTCTTTTTTAGCAATTGGTGGATTTGGATAATCAACCAAAATTAGATCTTTGCTATGGTTCTTGCAGCTGCAACACACATCAGTATTTCAGAAGTTATGCTTTCCCTGGTTCTGCCTGTGGCAAAATAAAAAAAAAAAAATCTACTAAGCTCAGAAAAAGTAGATTCCGAATAAAAATCTATCACAAAAATACTGACAGGTACATTTGAATCTTAACCTCTCACTGATCCTACAATTTCTGGATTTTTTGAATATCTTTTTAACAGCTCAGTAACTTGCATCCTCTTCCAAATAGTATTTTAATAGCAATCACTAAATTCATCCTTTTAGATGCAAGGCATTAATTTTAGCAACAAAGCGGCTTTTTTAATATATATATTGGAGATACTTTAAAACCCTTAAAAATATTGCATTCATATTAAAAAATATATTGATGATGCTTTGTAGGCTGACTACACTATCTTCAGACTCAGGCAAATAACTGCCATAGACGGTTTGCTTAAAAATGGTCCCAGATTACTTTATTTTACATCATTTAAAAAAGAAAAAAGGAAAGAATAAGCAATTATGGGGAAAAAAATTCCCCACTGTATCTTGTATCCTTTTCTGTTTTTTTTCCAGTGAATCCTGTTTGTCTCACCCTTTGTTTTGGGTTGAGTTCCTGTTTAGAACATAAGTTTGAAATCAAAATGTTCAGCTGTTTTCTAGTGCTTATCTGGGCTTTATAAAGGTCAAAGAAAAGTGCTTTTCTGTTCCTTTATAGAATTGGTTCATTCTATTACACTAAGAGATGGACTAATTTGGACTGTAACTAAGATGTGGTTCTTTAGACACAAAGCAGGTGGTTGGATCCAGCACATCTTCTGCCTATTATAGTAAAATCCAAGTCCATTTCCTCATGCGGTTTCCAAAGGCATCTCATCCCATTCTGGGCAAGAGATCATGAATGATGGATGTAAGCTTTGTTTCACATCATCTTCATGTCTTAATTTAGGTATTTCATTGGTCCAAACCATCCAAGTCCAACTGAATCTGTACTGATTTATATGATATGAAATCTAGCATCTTACATTATAAAACATATGTTTTAATAACTGCCTGTCAGTTTTATGACTTTGAATAATTTGGATAAGATGGAAGGGAAGAAAAGGAGCAGTAGAAGACACAGAATGGTTATACTGCTTTCTGGGGAAGGGATAAAGATTCAGTATCACTGCCAAATATGCCATTCAAAATGGACTTTAGTTTTATGTTAGTTTCAAAATGATATCTGAGTCAAATACCTCCTGAAACAGGAGAAAAGCCCTGAACTCCAAATGAAACTATTATATCTCAACAATGGTAACTTGCCCTTCGATGCTTGCTCTTCTTTCTTTATAGTAACATTGCGTACCTTTTCAGGGGAGCAGGCAGCTTTAAGTTGGTGCATCTCATAAATTATTGAGTAAAAGTACACTAAGTACAGTGGATTAAACTAGAGAGTTACTTCACAAACAGGAATCAGCACTTGTGCATTATACAATACTTTCTTTGTTGTCAATTCATTGAAAATAATACCAAAGAAGTCAAATGCTTTCTTCTCTCTTGCCTGCTTTCTTGCAGAAAGACAGTTCTACTTGTCACAACTTTATCTACAGACTTCCAAAATTACCATGCATATGGTACTCTAGTTAATAACTGAAACTGTGATAGTACTAATAATATTAAAAACATGGTTATTGTTTCTCTGTTGAAACACTGCTAATTTTTTTAATGGAGTTGCTAAAAAGTTGTTAATAATTGGAGAAATTAGCTTTAGTGGACATGCACTATTCTTCAATCAATATAGGAGTTTTTTGATACTACTGGCAAGGCTTTTGCTATTTCCAATTTTGTAAGTTTGAAGATCCCCTTTCAAGAGGTATCTTTTTGACGGATGTGCAGTTTTTCACCATATACTGTCTGTCTTGTATCACAGTGTTTTAGAAGAATCTATGCTTTACTTATTCACTAGGCTTTCAATAGAGAATCACATTAATCCTTTTAAGCTCCTTATTCTAATGATTTATTTTGTTGAAAACCGTAGTGATCCTCCTTTGAATTTTAATGATTGCTGGCTATTCAAGGATTCATTGTTTTGACTTCCTGTCCTTACCTTTGTTTCTTACATGTCTGTAGGGAACACCTGTCTAATACTGTATCTGGCCTTAGTTCTCACTGGCTTACCATATTCACTCAAGCCTATCTTAAGGCTTTAAGTTGAAATGCTAGCTACTCATCCATGAAAATAAATGTAGGATATTTACAGACATAGGCAGATAGACAGCAGAGGGATGGCTGAATGAATTTAGTAATTTTTTTATGTAAATAATATTTTCATATGAATTATATCAAGATGATTGTTGCAAAATTAGCTCAATATAAAATCTGCAATATAAAACCATTAAACAGCATCTATGGGGGATTTGTATTTCAAAATTTTTGAAGCAAATGCAGTATGCCAACAGTTGTCAGGATTTGGCATCAGCCACTGAATTTAGGTCATAGCACTGGCTTAAATTGGATTTCAGTTTTCATTTTCATCCACTCTGTATAAATACAGAATGTCTCTTTAGAAATATAACTTGGAACATCATGAGTTTTCAAGAATATATTATTCTAATACAAGATTTTAACAACTACACAGTATTTATGCATAATACATTTTGTTCCTTATCTACAGCCTTTTGGACTTTGATTCAGAATACCAGGAGCTCTGGGATTGGCTGATTGACATGGAATCCATTGTGATGGACAGCCATGACCTGATGATGTCAGAGGAGCAGCAGCAGCATCTTTACAAGGTTAGCGCTACCATAACTGCCTTTACCTAGCTATAGAAGATCTGATTAGCTTGACAAGTCTTTCTCTCACAGGATATCGCTGCGTTCATTGTATGTATCATGGTGTCTATTAGAATTCCCTTCCCTGTCTCCAACCTCATTTCCATCCCCTGTGCGCTGACAGGCTGCACCGACATCATAATTGCAAGAAAGTTCCCTTTATCACATTCTATTTGGTGTAATTCTATAGAAGGACAAAGATTTGTCTTCAAGATGAATAGAAATAAATGAAACTGCATTAATAAATAGAGTGAAACAAAATGAAGGAAAAAAATGAAATGGGAACATTTAACAAAATGTGTTTTGATTGGAGCTTTCAGCTGGATTTTATCCACCTTTCAGACCTCATCTGGAAAGAAAGACATTTTCCTTGATTTTGGTTTGCTGCTGCCAGGATACAGGACTCTTCCAATTTAATTTTTATTAGTTATACATAAAGTAGACATTGTCATGTTAACTCTTCACACTTGGTTGTGATTTGAAGAACATGATTATGAACTTGCAGGGTGAACTTATAGGGTCTAATTCTAACATACAGATAACACAACACACACATGGCTTCTCTTATTTGCTATAGCAACCTTAACCCAGAAGCTTTATCACTTCTTTTAGACAGACAGTACTTTTAAGAACTTCCTCAAAATGTGTGATTTGATCCGAAAATTGATTCAGGCTTCACTGTGTGTCTGAGAAGCTGTAGTCTGCGGGTCTGAGGGGTGGTGGGGGAAAGAAAGGAGGGGCTTTCGACAGAAATATCAGGCTGCAGTAAATCTTCCTCATTTAGGCAATTTTTATTGGAGTAATTCTGACAGTTGTCATCCTTGAATTGCTTTGAGCATATGGCATATTTCAAAGAGCAGATTGTGAATCATAAAAAATAAAATTAATAACTAACCACAGAATCAGCAACACTATAATGACAAGAAACAACTACCCTCTAGCTTTTTTTTATTTCGTATCAAATAAATGGTACATTCAAGGTCAAATAGAAGTTGTTTTCTTTCTTCTATGATTGCATGATCTGATAATTTCTTAAATATAATACATTTTTTCTTGGTTTGGCATCTTAATTTCTTTATGGTCTTCTTGAATTTTATTCTTTCTTATTTTGACACTTTTATTTAAAATACCCAGTGAGAAAGGGTTGTCACCTGAGTTAAAATATGTTTATAAATGTAAATATAGTTCAGATCCCAACTATTTTAGCCTGCAAGTGAGTTTAATTCACTAGCCTCCATTTCTTGCTTTGGCAGTTATTTCTTATTTTTGCTAATGTCTTTTTCCTAACTTTCTAAGTGCTTCATCATGCCTAATCATGCATTAACAGTCCTGGCCTTGGCTGGGCTCAGAAATATAAAATGTCAGAAATGGGTAAAAAGTTCCTTGTGAACCTAAAATAAGGGTTTTTTTGTAGTGCCAGCTTGTACCATGCCTAATATAACAATTAGTTTTAGTTCCATACTAAAAAAAAAAAAATCAGTAAACGAAAATATTAAGGCAAAAATTCATCCATCAATACCAAAAGGAACAAGGCTTAAGCAGCCAGCCCAAGTATTTTAGGCGCTACTTCTCTTTCTCATATCCAAATGTAACCATTAAGAAGAATTATAGATGGTAAGGCAACGATAATAATGCATGATGAGAAGAGTAATAGAGAGAAATAATTTAATAATGTATGCAGTACAGTATGGTGGCAAAATGGGGAGTATTGTATATGCAAAATAGGAAGTAATAGTTTCTTAATATTATGAAAATCTGTATTATGATATGTATGACACTTTTAAAAGCAGAAATTTTGTGTGAGCTAGAGTAGCTGAGTCTGCAGGCTGAGCAGCACAGACGAACCAGCACTGATTCCAAAGCACAGGAAGCTTATTTGTCCTGCAATTTCCATCATAAGATCACCTGGCTCTGTACCAGATTTGAGCCCCTATCTCAAAACTACCTATCTGGTACTTCGTCACTGCAAAACCACTTGAAGAAGGGCAGGAACAGACTCCTTGCCCTCCTGTGGTGAATATTCGCTGCATATACCCTTCTAGTAAAAACAGCAAGCAAATTGTTAAGGATTGAGTAGAAGACTTAAGTAGAAATGTCGAGTTTGTCTGAGATCACTAAGGAGTATTTTCAGGTAACATAAAAATCTTAAGTGCATTGCATTAAGAATGATCAGTCTTTCCAAAAAACAACACCCCCTAGCCCCCCCCCCAATGAACCACCTCCTGAAGAAGTGTTGAAAGCCTCATAATTTCAGACATTTAAAAGTAGACAAAAGACAACATTAGCAAATGTAATTGAAGGAACAATTCTGCTCTAGCAAAGGAAAGATCAGATAAATCACTAGGTCTTTATCATCTTTAATTTCAGAGATTCATGTAACAGTGAATCATGCCCTCAAAACCAGTATTAATAGTTTTATAAAACTAGCCTAGTAAACCTCTCTTCTAATCAGTGGTGACACCCGTTTTATTTCGAGGCTTTTTTACAGAGTCGTGGATGGTCTTTTGCTCACAGCTCAGAGGCATGAGCACTGCCTGCACTTCCCAGAGAGCACAGCCGTTCTGCTCTGTAGGGAGAGAAGACAGTACAGAGAAATCCAGGCAGCTATTATTATCAGAATTCCTCAATGAGGAGTGGGGTGTTATGAAAATATAGATCTTGCCTTAGTTTTTCTTTATCAATTACAACTTCAAATGTGAACCTGCTAATTGCACTCTCTGCATTTTGGTGGATTCTCCTAAACCCACGGATCTCTCTTCTCACTTCCTGAGCTGAAAAGTAATTGCTGCTCAGAGCCAGCTCAGCAAGCTGTCTCTGCCAGGGAACCTGCTGTGGTATCACTATTACCAACAGTAATCATTGCCCCTAAGGAGCCTATGAATGGGAAGGAGCAATGATAAAACAGGTAATTCAGAAGGGAAAAGCATACATTAAAGGAGCATAACACCATATATAAATGCTAAAATTGTATATGGGAAAATGAAATGTATTTTCACGGTTAGAGTATTTTCACAGTACTCTATTTTCAGAGTCCATATGCATTTAAGTCAACTCTTAGCTTAATTTTATTCTATAATTTTCCAGGAACTTCATAGTTTTTTTACTAGGATCCTTATTATCTCTCTTTAACTAGGTTTTCTTTTGCCCTAAATATAACAGGAAGAGCACAGCCACATTTTTTTGTAATGCTGAATACATATGTATTAATTTCTCTAGATTTCCTAGATTTCAGTGCAAAAATTTTTAAAAAAGATAGCATAGTCCTAAATTATTTCTGCTTTAGAGTCCTAAACTAGCTAATGATTTTGAAAATCGGCTAGTGTTTGAAAAAATGGCAGTCACGGAATGAATTGATGAGAGTTTATTTGTTCTCTAATGCTTTAACTATTAATTAAGAAGAAACTAAAAGGAACATTTCCATGTTTTTCGACTCTTGCTTCTTTGTACTTCTGTAATAGCTCAGTTTAATGCCAAATGTATCATGTTTATTTCATTTTAATCTACTGCATGTGAGCCTGATCTCATAAGCTCTAAGTACACAGAACTTGCATTGACTTCAACTGTATTCATATGCTGTTACTGGAGGATCAAACCCAAAGAATTTAAACTCTGCTAATTAGCCCTTTAGTGGGAACTTGAGTAATTCTGTAACTTGAATGTTCAAAAATGAAGCAAATCAGTATTTACTGGAACTGTGGAGATTAGAAATGAGTATACTAGGCAGAAAAGTTAATGATAATTCTTTCAATTTTCCTCAGAGGATTAATTGCAAAACTTAATTGTGTTAGATTAAAACCCCATTTAAATAAATAAAATATGATTGTTAAAATTGTTAGTATGCTCAGAATAGAATTAACTAAACATTTGAAAATATCAAATAAAAGAAATATTTTTTCTGTCAGATTACAAGCAATGTATGGTGGTTTTAACACAAACTGTATAAGCTGAAAGTTTTGTACTAGTAAGTCTTCAGCAACACTACTCATGATAGATGGAAAAAGGTCCTTATGTAGAAGTGCAAAAATTTTGAAAACATTTAGTTGGCACAGCTTTTGAACAGGTTAGTTGCTGAACTCTTTCATCAAAGGGAAGCAGTCCAATGTATTAAATAACACAAAAATGCACATCAAAAACTAAGGATACATTTCAAAAAAAAGTTGAGGGGAAAATATCTCCCAGCAGTTTTTGCTTCCCGGCTGGAAGCTCTATCCCTGCTCAGAAGGTGCAGTTAATTTCCTCCTCTGGGTGTGCTGCTGCTCCATTGTGCCTTTCTCCCTGGCTCAGTGTGCTGGGGCCCGGAGTGGATCAAACAAACCGTGGTGAAAGTTTCCCTCATTTGCATCACTTCTAGACAGCCCTGTCGTACTCTTTGCTGACAGGAAATCACTGTCTTTGTCACCTTTTTTCAGTGATCTCCTTTTGGCAGAGATTGGCCATGTGACCAGGATTAATCACAACAACAGTTCTGGCTCAGAACTCAATGACATGTTTTCCTCAGCACTTCAATAATGGTGTAGAGGAGTCAGTAGGAAATGACTACATTAATTTCAGAGTGAAAAGATAATTAACACTTAAGGACTAGTGCTATAACCTATGGAGCTATTATTCAAATTAAAACTAATTCATTGCAAACTTGTGAAAAAGAAAAAAAAACACAAAAAACTGCTCTTTAATGCAACTGTTAAAATAATCTTGCAAGAGACTCTGAGTTTAAAAAGAAGCATAAACTATTTTTAACGCAGTAATAAAAATACATAAAAACTTCAACATTTGAAACTGGAGGCTAAAGTATGTGAAGTGCTTACTTAGATGATATGAATAGGATACTGGCAAACAAAAGCAGCAGTGTGCTCCTAGAATGCTGTGCTTCAAGGAGTTTCCTTGGCAACAGAAATGCAGTTCCAAAAGTAGACAGAACTTTCCTCAGAAAACATACTATTAATAACAACCTTCCGGAACAA